TGTGTGTGTGTGTGTGTGTGTGTGTGTGTGTGTGTGTGTGTGTGTGTGTGTGTGTGTGTGTGTGTGTGTGTGTTGGTATATACTGTATATCGAGTGTACATTCATATCTATCTGTGTTATTTTTTCAGGTCTCACATGTGACAGATCTTGATATGAGGGAGGCTTTCTAGTAAGCTTAACTTTCATAAATGCATTAAATGAAGCCAAATATTATTCAAACACAAAAAATCACAACATGACCCCATGCATGTCACGCTGAATTTTGGCAATTTTATTATATAATTTTATAAAAATGCTTCAGCCAGCAACAAACAAGATTGAATGTTTCACTAAGTATAAAAATCCTAAAGCTTGAAAAAACTTAAAATGTAAATAAGTTAATTTTTCTGTAAAAGAGGTGTTAAAGCAACTCGTGGGAAAACAAAGTGTGTAGCGAGTGTACAGTGTGTGTGTGTGTGTGTGTGTGTGTGTGTGTGTGTGTGTGTGTGTGTGTGTTGTAGAGTGCGTAGATGCAGCAGACAGACATGTCTCAGTTGGTTTGGTGTCCTCTACTTACTTTTAATAGGCCTACTTGTAAATACAACTTTTGGCCCGTAATTTATTTTCCTCTTTGTAGCGACCAGAGAGGGGGGGGGATATATCCAGTCTCTGATAGTGTTACATTATTATGAGAGTGCTCTGTTTGATTCTGAAATTGTATATATTTATATAAATAGGCCTATATACATATATATGTGTGTCTGTAGCCTGTTATTATCTCATTATACCGCACTGTGAATGAATCAAAGTAAGTGGTCATGAACACATCTGTCCATCAGACAGAGGGCTGCTGTGCCTCCTGTCATCATTAACGGACGTCTCTTTAAAATGAACGCTCAGAGGAGAGGAGTTCTCATTTCTTTAACCGCCTGCTGCTTCCCCTCCTCTCTCTTCGGTTCCCCTCCTCGGCTCCTCCGCTCGCATCTCCTGTGGGCGGGACTAAGTCTCGAGGATAGGAGTCGAGGAGGAGAGTTAGAGAAATGAGAAAGGGCCCGGGAGAACTGAACAGCAAAATAAACCCAAACCGAGACATACAAAACTAAAAACGTGACATAACATGAGAATCGTGACAAAAATACTTTTAAACTGTAGCCTGTAAAGGAGTGCTACACCTTCAACATTGTGTGTGCTTGAGAATAAAATGACCCTTCTGAACTGCAGAGGTTAGTGTATCTTTTCAAGTGAAATGGTGGAGAATAAGCTTGCTGCATACTCCATTTAGCTGAAGAAAAACAAACAGGTTGGTCATGTGGCTGGTTCCTCCACACAAACAAAATGCATGACGCTCTATTAAACGTAAGAATCCATTAAAAAGACAAAAGAAGCAAACAGATGCTGTGTTAATAGCCTTTATAGGGGATCATTATGGGTGACCTGTGCCTAAAAAACAACAAGAATTATGACATTAAGTCCAGGGTGCTTTAAGAATATGAAGTATATAATCAGGAATTGTGCTTTGATTGGACACCTCAGGCTTAGTACGTCTAGTCCTTTGACTGGAACATCCCTAAATGGCACATTAATATGAAGATAACAAGATGTGCTGTTTGTTGTGAATATGAGCATATTTGATATTGATCATTTTCTAAATCCCTTCCCTGAACAGATGTGATACACTGACCTGATAAATAAACAGGATATGTCATGTGCCATGTCAACATGGTCAAGACGTGTCTAAATACTTTGTTTGAACACATCTATCAGATCAATTCACCACTAAACATATTTTACAAGGACTGTGGATGCTTTTTCCTGTTAAATGAGAATTTTTGTGACTTGTGTCCACTAAGTCTTGGCATTGTGACTTCCTGTGATTTAAAAATGACTTTGCAGTTGCTTTCTAATTAGACAAAAGTAAATAAAAAAAAGTGACAATGTAGGTAAAAAAAACAAACCGCTGGATGATTTGGACCCTTATTTTTTTTTTGACAAGTTCAAAATAATATCCAGAAATGTTCTGAAATCACAACAAATCACACAAAGCAGGAAAATCAACAGATGCAACATATTTGATATGCTGAAATATGAAACATAACATGACTAATATTCATTTAAAATATAAAGGATGTCTGAAGCGGGCTTATAAGAACCATCTGTGTGTTTAGAACAGGCAGCAGTGGAGCAGAGAAAAACGTTGGTTGTGAATGCAGCGCTGGAAACGCCTCGTGTGGATGACAGAGATAGAGTGGAAAATGTCACTGCCTTAATGATGAGTGATGAGTGTTTTGAGTGTGTGTGTGTGTGTGTGTGTGTGTGTGTGTGTGTGTGTGTGTGTCTGTGTGTGTGTGTGTGTGTGTGTGTGTGTGTGTGTGTGTGTGTGTTGCTGTATCCCGAAACAGTATTTGAACAAATCATGAACCAAAGTGTTTAAATATTTTTTATGATGTTACCAGTGTGTTCTGATGTGATCTGTGCCTTTTTGGTGAGAAGACAATTTTATTATTAACTGTTTTATTTATTTAGCCATGCAGGCTGGTTCCTTTGAGGATTGAAGCCTCTTCAAGGGAGACCATGAAGAAGGTTTTACAATTTTCCGGACAGAATATAATAATGAAACAGCAGACTAAAATACATCTAAGCTAAGAAAAGAGACAATTAACAAACAAGTCGTTTACTATATAATTTACATTAGTCTTGATGTTAATAACATGAGCTTTATTCATTTATGTTAATAATATTTTTCATTTAACTTTCAGACAGGCACTCTTTTTAAGAATAGTTTAACATTTTTGGTATCTACTTCTACCTATTTCAAAAATCTTTAAAAAAGTGTATATGGTTTTAAGGTTGAATATGATTATGCGATTAAGTCTCTAACATTTTCAGCTGTTTATAATTGTGTTATTTATCTGTAAACAGCATCACTGTTTGTTTTTTGGTTAGTCAGTGTGGATGGGTTCAAAAGTAATTACAACCACAGCTGCCTGCGTTAAAATGCCATTCTGCAGCTGCTTTTATGAATAAATAAATACTGACTGGCTGAAATACTAATTACCTGTTTTTATGATTTGAAATTAAATATGCATAGAGTTGAATAATTGTTTGTGTATTCTTTTACTAAAACAGACTGACAGAACAGTGTGAAGCCAGCGGGAATCACAGTGTTTGTATGCCTCACACAGGGAAACACATAATGACAGTTCCAAAACGGACTGAAATCAAAGTTGTAGGAAAACTTTCAGTTCCTTGATAATAATACATGCCTCAGCCTTTGTGTCCATTACTTTTTCACTCATTCTCATTGATGCCAAAACCCCACGAGTTATGAAGTGCCTTAGTGTGTCACTGTGACACTAGTTACTATAGCAACCGGGACATTGGCTGCACGTAGTGACAGTTTCTTTTTGAAGACTATGTGTGATACTAGAAAAGGGACATGGTGTCATAAATATGTATTCAGTATCCATCTTCCCGGAATAATCCCATTAGTCTTTACTGAGGACAAGAAATTGTGCTTCTGTGGATGAGCATTACAGGGAGATAAAATGCTTTAATGCTTCATTCTAGTGAATGGGGTTACATTTTGTATTTTACAATTGCCTAGGATTTTGTTACATTTTCTACAGTTCTGAGATTAACATTTGAATTCTATTTCATGCAGAAATACTGTCATTACAACTTCATAAAAATGAATCACTCAGTTCATTGTCAACACACACACACACACACACACACACACACACACACACACACACACACACACACACACACACACACACACAAAGTGGTGACCATTGTTAAGATGCAGCCCCTCTAATGGCTGACAGGCACAAGAAGAGGCTTACACACTGTACTGATGTCAACAAGTCCAATTACTCAGAGAATTGGAAGTTAATATTATCGGTTGCCGCGTATTTGCACATTTTTAGCTTTTTGATGTTGTGCAAATTTGATTCAATGTTCGGTTTACATATGCAATTTCACGAAGGATTGTGCGCAACACCTGCACAAATAAGAATAAGAAATAAATAAACAGTTATTCTCAAAGAATCAGCAAAGGAAAATACACCCTAACTGCAGTGAGGGCAACCAGAATCTTCTTGTTTCTGTGCTATTTGCATATATTTAAATGAGGTAATATGCATATCTTTGGCACAAAATTGTTCCCAACTTATGCAAATTAACCTCACTGCAAAAACAAAAAGACTGTCTTGGTTGTTTTTAGGAATATTTCTTCTCTTTGTGCGTTAGGATGTACAGCATTTAAATTCTTCTCTAATTTGCATACTTTGTTCTGGCTGCACAAGCAACACTAATACTTTGCCTCACGGATAAATGCAATCAGGTGCAATATATTTTCTAAATCTGCCTTTGAGATGGGCAGATAGTGGCTGAGGTGCAAATAATGCAGCTGTTGGCCTCAGTTCATTCTGACGGTGTTTCTACAGTTCATCTCGTGGCTGTGTGTCCTGCAGCCAGTGTTTGTAGACGACCACAGGATCTATGTTCCAGTGTTTGTGGAAGGAGATGGCCTGCTGCGTCGCCTCGGAGTAGTCATACGGTTGGGCCTAAAATATCAAGAACAAGCGTTGGTGTTTGATACGATTCATATTTCATTTAATATATTGATGAGTGGATCCTCTGATACTTTAAACCATTGCCTGATAGACAAAGTGATCCTAAATTGCATCACAAATTGACCTTATGCAAGGATGGAATTTATTTTAGGCAAGTCAATTTGAAAATACAAGTACTTTAAAGGGTACTTTTTCCACACGACCTGATAGATTAGTGGTTAGAGAACATACCAGATGAGCACAAATCCTCTCTTCACTATTGCTATCAGATGAAAGCACAAAAAAGGGAATAAATAAGAGCTAAACATTGAGAAAAGCAATTCTCCAACATTTCAAAATCAATAACACTTTCTATGCGGGTAGGTCATTTCCTAACATGTTCAATAGGAATTTCAATGAAAGAAAGTGTAATTTCATAGTTATCATTTAGATATTAGCACAGTTGACTGTTCTTGGAAAAGTAACTAAAGTTAGGAAGTTGTGTTGAGCATGTTGATGCATTGAATATGCATTCGACACTCAAATACTTTTGGAAACGTTATTCTTTACATTTGCTGAATGATATGCTTCCCTGAAGAACATTTCACATTTCTGCATGTTCTGCACGTTCTGCTGTGCACTGACCCCAATATCTTTGTTAAGTTACATTACATAGCGAACAAATGACATGTGTGTATTGTTTCCTACCTGGTGGAACAGGGGGCTGTGTGTGATGGGAACACCGAGGGAAGTGAAGCACCGGCCCAGCACCATGTCATCAGGAGCGTCGTCACTATAGCAACCACAACCACTGGAAATGAGCCGGGACACCGCAGACCGACTGAGCACCATGCTGCTCACAGAAAAAAACAGATATTTAAATAATAAAGGGAATCAACAGCACATTAAAACATGATACAAGGTTTATGTGACTGTCTGAGCCGTATTCATTTTTGTTATGTTATCATGTAAAACTAAATATTTTTATATTTCAAAGAGGCAGTTTTCCTTGAACTTTGGGAGGAAAATATCCTTTTCTTCACACACAGTATTCAGCCTGTCAGGACTATCAACGCTTCCATCACTGTTTTTTCTTTTTACGGGATGTGTAGCCAAAATAAATGTTAGCTGGTGAACATAGTGGAGCATTCAGCAGCTTGAGCAGAGTCGAATGTTTCTACTTTATTGAATTTCAACTTAGTTGTAAGTGAATTTGTCTCAGTGGGCTCAGGACAAGACATACAGTATAATAGGAAATAAAAAAGGTCTAACACACACAACAACACCCTGTCCCATAAAACACACAAAGTGACAGTCCTTTAAACCTTTTATAAAGTGCTGGAGCAGATTTGGGGAACCCTTTAGTAATTTAGTGGTTGTGCTGTAAGTGCTGTGGAGAAAAGGGCATGTCTACATTCTGGTTGTCTTGTTCTTAAGGATGTTTGTCAGGAAGCCTGGAGTCCTATACTATTTTAAGACCTTTGAAATCAACGCCGGTCTCATGCGTGTCATAGATGGAGTGAGTTTAAAGAGGTTGGTTTGGTTGCCATACCACACAAATATCAAAAAGATGAAAACATTTTCCCCTGTAGCTCTGTAGAACCGCAGAAACTTTTTAGGTGAACTTTTTGATGATCAGGAAGATCCCAATTCCATGCACCACAATTTAGAGAGGAGATTGTTGTGCCGGCGGTGCATTTTTCCAATCTTTAAGTTGGTAATAGCTTTAGTGAGAGAGCCTGCCCATCCCTCAAAGAGTCAAACACCAGCTACTTAGTTTTGAATAAAAATACTTTAGTTTCAAGTTGTAGCGACAGCCCTTGCTAACTTGCGACAAGACCCTAATTTCTGTAGGCTCATTCAATGTCTCGTGATATCAGCCTTGGCAATGTTGTGTTATCAGCAAGTTTACATTTTTTAACAGAGCCCTCAGGAGTTGGTAGAGACCAAACCAGCAAAAAGGGTATAAATTAGAATTATGTTTGTCATTTATTTTGGAGGCCATTTTAGTCAGTGTGAATAAATAACTTAATATCAACATACAATTAGTCATTTGATCATTCAATAATATAATATATATACAAAGTACATTAAAATATAGCAAATTGTAGTCGAAATGTATGACAAGATTTCAACCATACCAGATTTGTCTTGTATTTAATATGAATTTTAAATGTACTGATTTAATGCTATGGTGTACTAAAGAAATACTGATACTTTATGTAATATTTACCAGAATGCAGTCGCAATAACGTTTTGGGACAGGCATACACATACTGTGCTGCTCAATGCAACAGGTATACACATACTGTGCTGCTCAATGCAACAGGTATACACATACTGTGCTGCTCAATGCAACAGGCATACACATACTGTGCTGCTCAATGCAACAGGCATACACATACTGTGCTGCTCAATGCAACATTCATACACATACTGTGCTGCTCAATGCAACAAGTATACACATACTGTGCTGCTCAATGCAACAGTCATATAGAGTGAACGTTTATTCTCCAATTTTGACTTAATAACACTTTTCTATTTGTGCAGCTTTCGCACCACTGGCTAAACTGTGGCTGTTCCCTGCAAAGCATTCTTCTTTAAGCATAATTGTATGTGCAGATAAAATAAATGAAAAAGAAAACTGAAAGAGGACAGTTCTGAGTTCAGTCAGAAGCTGAGCTGAACACAAACACCCAGACAAACACTCACAGAAAGAAGGGTTGGCAACCTGCAGCTCCCGTACTTGTACAGCTCGACATTTGCAAATAAACAGCCCATGGTTCATGGTTAAAATTTGATTCCCTTCTGTCCTTACAACTTAGCATGTGT